ACCTGGTGTTCTGACCTAGGAGAAAAGAGAACACTCAGGTACAGGCAGGTAGGTTATTGAAAACCATTCCATCACCTTGTCCTTTTGTTCCACCAATAACAGGCACTAATTTGGACTGCTGGCTCACAGAACCTACCACACCACCACACAAAAGTGAATGAGTAAACAATGTGGCTTACCCACACAATTCTATATTATTATTAATCCATAAAAACAAAGGAAGTATGATACGATTCGATTATTAGAATAATCCTGGAAGTTGTCATTAAAAAAATAAAGCAGAGCACAAAGGCTATACAACACATGGTTTAACTTCAAAGCACTGCAGAGATGGAAAACAAGTTATTGGTTTTGGGGAACCATATTGGGAAGTGATTGCCAAAGGAGTGCTGGTATTTCCAGGGGGATAAGGACCACACATTGGAGCTGGCCAGTGGCTGGCAGCACTACAGCACTGTGGGTATGTGTCATGCTTCTGACTCACACCCCTTGTGTCATGTGCACTTTTACCCATTTTCCCATTCCAGCCCTGTTCTCAGTCGGCGGGCCATCCCTCATAGAACTGGCAGACAATTGCCATCTTCGTTGTTGTATCTTCAATCCCTACTTCTACACTGTCAGCCCCACCACTACACTGACACCCCTACTCCACACTGTCACTCCCCACCCATGTACTATCACCCTTTCCCCTGCATTGTCACACACACACACACACACACACACACACACACGCCTTCCTTGGCTAATATTCCTTGGCACATGCACTCATGTTTTGACATGGTGTCCTAAGACTGGCTTGTGGGCTTCCTCCTTGATCCTGAGAGACCTGGTAGAGGCTTGAAATGCCCCGTACAATGAAGCTTTTATTTTTTTTTAATTCTGCATGTATATTATTAACTATTCTGTCTGTGTAATTACCTACCTCAAAGTTCTGTGACCTAGAACAATGACAGTGTTGACTTTACTCATAAATGTGCAGTCTGGGCAGGGCTTGGTGTAACTTGCTCCACCAATCTAAAGGCTGAACCTATCTCAGGGCTCTCTTACACACTGATGTAAGTTGATGTAGTCATTGACCGGGACCTCAGCTGCAATAGTCAGCTGGATCACATAAACACAGCCAAGCCACGTGGCCTGAACTTCCTCACAGTGTGGTGGTGAGGCTCCAAGGTTGGAAGATGGGCAAAGAAGCACAGCTGGAGGTCATGGGGTGTGCCTTCCTCATCCTGCTGGAGATGCTTCCTTAAAGTCAACCCACAATCAAAGTAGGTGAGCTAGACCTCTTCCACTGGAAGAAATGGCAAAAATCTTACAATCTAGGGACAGAGGGAAGCTCTGAGATAAAATACTTGCTACACAAGCCTCACAATGTGGAGCTGATTCCCAGAATGACTGTAAAGGTGGAAGGGCAGGCCAACTCCACAAAACCTTCTTCTAGTTTCCGTGTACATGCTGTGCCATGTGGCACACACACACATCATGTACACACAGAGACACCACTCACTGTCTTGTTAAAGTCCATGCAAACACACCCCCAATCTAAAATTAAAGCTATGAGAGGTTCCTTGGGTCAGGACCCTACCAACCCTTACAATTCGAGTTTGATCCCCAGAACCCACACAGTAGATGGAGAGCAGCAAGCCCTGAAAGCTGGCCTCTGAACCCATACCACACAGTAGCATGTGCATCTGCACACGTACACCCACTCACATGCACACATGCACACACACAAACACAAACACACACACACAAACACACACACACAAACACACACACACAAACACACACACACAGAAATGTATTAACATTTTCTTTTGAAATAAAACAGTAGCTTCCATCCAAGAGCTCAGAGTCATCTTGTCCTCTGCGAAAGCCTCCTTATTCACAGTTAGTGTCTCTTATTCCTTAGACTTCCTGCTGTATGAGATCATGTCAGTTTTGCTCAGTGTCATACTGTTAGACTGTCACAGCCTGACTGAATAGTTGCTAGATGAATAAAGATGTCATGTGAGCAGTGACCATGGCCTTTGAGGGACGGTTAAATAGACATGCTATGCTGGTAGATGACTGGGCATGGGGACCTAGTTCCCATGTCATCGGTTCTTGTAGAAATCTTTCCATTTCTCAGTCCATCTTTGTGTGAGCAGAAATTAGGGATGGAGCATGAACTATGCCGAAATAAGTGGCCCACATACCCATTTGATTCAGTAGCCAGGTGAATGAATTTATGGATACCTTTGTCATCTGCTCTTATAGAGAACTAGGTTGAGGGAAGTGAAGCTCCAAATGACTAAAACCCATGCTTCATAAAAATTATTTTTAGTGTGATTTGAAATTTTCTAATATATATATATATTATATATATTGTTTTTGAACATCAGCCCTGACTCATTAGCCAGCCTAGTATGGCTATTCTCAAGGGAAGTGGATTTTTCCCCATGAGATAGTTATGATATCTAGAGACATCTCACTGTTTCAACTGAGGGAAGGCATCCCGTGATGGACTAAAGCTCTGATGGACAAGAACCTTGATGGACCAACACCTGTCACCCTTCCTACACAAAATAATTAACTGGCTACACATTTGTTGGGAAATACTGGAGCAGAATTAAAGGAAAGAAAGACAAGCCTCACCCCCTTCTTATATAACCTGCTTGTAGGAGATGACATGAATACAGGTGTCAAAGGCACTAATCAGCTGCCTGATCAGACTGCTGGTTGAATGGATGAAGAGAAGTTTTAAGATTCCTTTTCCATCTTAATTTACTGACCTGAGTAAGTGACAGGTAAAACAAACTGAATTCTTGTTTCATTAACATCACTGTTGCTATTAAGGGTAGAATATATTTAGTAACTATTTAGCAAAAAGTATATGGAGACCCACACTTTAAAAGTTTCTGTAAAATCCACATACCATTGAAGAATTGGGTAACGTGGTCAAATTTGCAGAAAGAAAGAATTAAGACTATTGCCCAGTCACCCCAGAAAAATCCTCTTTCCGCTTTCCTGCCCGTGTGTAATATTCCTTAGCTCAGGCAGTTAATGCCACAATAAACAAAGATGACGAGTTAAACATTTCTGCATTCCAAGTCATAATGAACACTAACCAGATCCATAACCTAGGGAGTAGGTACTGTCTGGTAAAGTTGAGTGTTTCTTAAATGCCTATTAAAAGGAAAATTACTTTACATTGATCATGATGAACACACAGACTATGGTATTGTGTGGAAAGTTGAATATACAATAAGTCCCAAGTAAATGCGCTTGGAATTTTGGTTAGATGGAGTTCTATTGATTCATTCTAGTTTCATTTCTATTGCTATTATAAAATACCCAGACCAAAAGGAAAAACAAAACAAACAAACAAAAAACAAAACACCAACTTTGGAGATGAAAACTCTATTTTAGCTTAAAATTCCAAATACAACAGCATAGGGAAGTCAGACTGTGGAAGGAGCTTCAGAGAGCTGGCCACATCACATCTGAGAAAGAGTCGGAGGACAGAAAGAGAGCGAATGCATACACAGACGATTGCTTGCTCAGCTTGATTTTTCTCACTTGTAGACCGTCTGGGATCAAGCTCATGAAATGCTGCGGCTGCTTGCATCCACAGTGGGTCTTCCCATCTCAAGTAACCAAACAAGAAAAACCCTTTATAGACAAACCCCACTGTCCAACCAGTCCTCTAGTGAGACTCTTCCTAACCATTACGATTGGCTAGACACAGATGGGTGGCATTATCTGGAGAGCTTCAGTGGAATTCGGTTTAAGACTGTGACATTTACTTAAAGAGATGCCTGTCAAGATCAACAGGAAACAGGATCCAGGATTCAAGGAGCAGTGGAGGCTCAAGTCCCTCGGATACAATGGAATAGCAGTGTGCATGACCATTGTCTAGGAAATCATCAGAAGAAGACCTGTCCAGGGTCAGCACTAGTGTGGTTATTTTTCAGAATATTTTCTTTCCTCTGTATTTCTAAAGCTGAGTATTAAGCCCAGGGCCTTACAAATGCAAGCTCTCTGTGCTGATGACACGCCTTAGCCTGGTATTTGAAAACCATAGATGGTTAAGCCCACAGGTGCACAGGCCATTGATACAGAGGGCTGACTGCAGCCAGATACTGGCAGACACAGCACCTATCAGACAGTGAATGAGACTGAGAGTCATGGTAGCATCAGACCTATTGACTATAGCAGCAGTAACTGCATTTATTGATCCCGTGGTGAGCTGAGCATGGTTTCTGGGTGATTGTGCATGAATCACTCACAGGGATTGCATGAGCCTACGCCCAGCTCTGTTCTCCTGTGTCACCAATGGGACACTGAGGCCGTTGCTGCTGAAATAGTTTAAGAGATATAAGGCTAAGTGAAAGGGTGGGGACTCAGAAGCCCAAGAAGCTTCGGGGATTCTCTCCTATAGAATACTGCCTTTGCAAGTTATGGGTAGATATCTTTGGTCAAAACAACCCCAAATAAGGGAATGATGCTGCTATTAAATGCCTAGGACAGTCACATCAGCAAGCAGAAACATGGGCTAGCTGGGAGCTCCTGAGGCCCAGGAACCAAATATCATCAATTTCTGTACAGTATCATGACATCACTGCTATACCAGGAACTCTGATCTCTGGAGCTTCAACCCCGTTCTTCTCACACACCCCTTTACCCTCCAGCCACACAGTCCTGTCCTGGTGTGTATCATTAACCTCTGAAGTGGCTTCAGGGTTTAAATAGCCGTGTCTCCTCCGGCAACCATATCCTTTCCTCAAGGAGTTTTAAGCAGATAAGCTAAATCCGAACAATATGCTGTACACGAGAAAGGTGAGGGTTGTAGAACTGTTTTCATGGGGGAAATGGCTTCAACGGAAAGGGTTTAATGGAAGAACACAAGAATAAACACAAATGTCTTCACACTTAAGATGCGCTGTGATTGACTTCAGTGCTGTGGTGGGAGGGGTGGAGATAAACAGCCATCCACTCAGCCTCGCTCTGCTGAAAGTGATGGCTTCCTTCTAGCTGGCACACTTTGCAGGGGTTGGTTGTGCGCAGCTAGGGGCATGAGCGTTGTGGCACCGTGGGACACTGTCTCAGCCTGCGATTTGAGGGTTATGAGCGCGGGGAAGAGACAGTTAAAGCTTCCTCACGCCAGCGAGATGAGTTGTACTACACAGCGCCCATGCCAGGCCAGCAGTCTGGATGGAGCCGAGACACTTAACTGCTCGTGCCAAGCAGTGCCAAGCACCTCTGGAAGCCCCTGCTTTAGGGGTCTAAATCTGGACCCCAGATTTAGATTCATGCTGCAGTCTGGGGGAGTGTTTTGACGTCTGCCGGGCTACCGGGAACAGCGCACTGCACACTGCCTCTGAGATGAGACAGAGCTCTCCAGCCTGGGAGTCTGAGGAAGCCGGACCTGGGCAACGCTGCTCAGGTGAGTCGGGGCTCGGGGACTCAGATGACGAGGGCAGTCCTGCCCATTCCTCTGCTGTGTTTATGGGAACAGTCATTCTGCTGAGGCTGGCTGTTGTGATGTGGCAGATTGATTCCGGAAGATTTCTTGTATTTCCCTAATTCCTTGTGAAAGAGCAGGAACCAGGCTGAGCTTGCGCTTGGGTCATAAAGCCCCCTCCAAAATCAGGAGGGTTATGTTAGAGGGGACCTATCCCAGGAGGAATTGTAGTCCAGAATAGAATTGAGTACCAGCAGCCTAGAATCTGATTAACATGTCCCCAGGGGGATTTCTTGGGAGGCTTCAAATGGGACTGAGATGGTGGCCATGGAATACACAAGGGTGGGGGTGGGGTGGCCAATTTCTAATTCAGAATCCATCCTAGACTTAGCAGGAACCTGCTTGGTATTAGGGGGAAATATCGCATAAGCTGGTAATGTCTGAATTCTTCACAGGAAAAGATGATTATCCTTGCTGCAGCAAGCTTGGGCTCCTTGGGGGATAGAATTATGCCCTGGTTTTGCATTTGTGTTTGCATCCCTGGCATACGGCCTGGTGTTTGACACACATGAGAATGGTTTGTTATCCTGAGAGTGACATGAGATTTGAGTCATAACTCCAGCACATTGGAGAAGCTGCTCAGGGCACCACAAGAGCCATACAGCAGTGTTTCTGTGTAGAGGACCACATAGGCTCAGGTTGGATCAGCTTCTGACTTAGCAGGCATATTGACCTGGTGGTCACAGCCACAGGCTAGGTGAGACTACAGGGTCTTGCAAGCCTAATCCGGGACAGTCTGGCAGAAGTCTGGCTCAGGGTAAGTGAGGGTCTGGAAAGGCAGTGATGGCTCACGGGCAGATTGTTTCATCGTCCAGCAGGTTTATCCTGTCATGAGACTTTGCTGTTTAATCACCCACTGAATCCTTGTCTACCTTTAGGGCTAGGTGCAAGAGCCCCACAGTACTGATGGAGGCGGGTATGAGCTCCTGATTTCCCCTTTGGTCTTGATGTGGAGGTGGCGTGTCTGCTTCATTCATTAACAACATGCTTGGTTTCTGTTTTCCTGCCTCTCTGGCTGTTCTCATTGCCATCCTCTATTCAGGCAGGCCACATGGCTGTATTGCCTGCATTCATCGTTTAAGCTTAACCACAGGCTTCCAAAAAGCTCCTCCAGCTCATGGCTCTTTTTCCTGGGAGCCCCCAGTGTTGTTGTATTAAATTACACTGATCTGCAGCAGCCCAAAGCCGATGTTCCTCGAGGGCGGGGTCTATATGGCTTCATGCCCCAAGAGACTGACATCAAGTGGTATGTGACACACAGGAGGGAGGACCTCATTCAACTTCAGGGAGAGACAAAGAGACAAAGAGAGTACCATCAGGAGGCTACCCCCAGATGGTACTACTGGGGGTGACAGCAGGAAACGCAGACAGTGGCAACCAGAGTCCTGATGCTGTTGCAAAAGGCTGCAGTTCAGAGACCATGAGATGCAGGCTTGGGGCCCAGTGCAGGAAGGTCAGGCAGCCTTAACATATAGGATAACTTAAAATAGGGCCTTTGCTCTGCATGTATAGAGTGCAGCTACAAGCTAGCTGAGGTTGAACTGTAGTGCAGATAAAGCAGGCTGTAGTCTCAGCAGAGCCTTTCCCAGTACAGGGTGGGTCTCAGATGAGCAGTCAACATCAACATTCAGGCAACTGGATAATCTTAAGGTTTGGACCTTTTGTCCCATAATCAAATCCTGGGTTTATGATACAGAAACTAAGTCACATGTTTTTAGGGGGACTAGTGACACCACACTGCTTTCTTCACTGTGCAGCAAGCTTGAGGACCATGGTCCCCATTAACCTTCCAGATCCACCACACCACCTCAGCCCAGATGGCAAGATGTGCACCTGATCTGGGAGCTAGGGTTAGTGCGAAGACTGTGACAGATGCACCAGAACTGGTCTAGGAAAGACACATGGGTAGCCTAGTGCCAGGGAAGATCAGCGTGCAGCTGGCTCTGTGTCCCTGTATTGGAGGCTGGAGAAGTCAGTCAGGTGAGTGGAAGGGTGAGCATGCAGCCGATTGACATGGCTGTGTTAGAGGTTCCGTGGAGTCACCAGAAACTGTTCCACTGCGTACTGTGGATCCCTTGACCTTTTTGCTCAGAGATATCCTAGAACACTGCTCCCATTGGGTGGCAAAGCTGTTGCCTCTGACAGTTCTGGTTAGCAGACCTGATCAGTAGAAAGATCCTGATTAGCAGAAAGGATCCTTCTCCTTCTTCTGTATCGGGTGTTTTCTATACAGCCTCACATGGCTTCTAAACCACCCCTAATTATACCCTGGGTCAAGGCGATGCAGTATGCAGAGGACTGAACCTGTCACAGAATATGCCATACGCCACACATTTGGACACACACAGGCACACACATACACAGGTAGGGGAGGGAGAGAGGGGCACGTGTGGGTAACTGCAACTACCATGGCCTGATGAGCCTAAATCATCCACTGGCTGAGCAAGAAAGAAGTTATATAGAACTTGCTCTCATTAGAGAAATGAGGAGGGTCATGCCATGAAAATCCTGTATACTTAGCAGCAACAACTTTGGTTTATTATACTGAATGTAGATATTCTGCGTGATGGTCAAGGCTGGAAGTATACATCTAAACATTCACTATCTTCTGAAATGCATTCTAAAGCTTTGTACATTGATTGCGAGTGCTATTTATATTTTGGAGTCATAATTCATATTTTAATCCCATTCCCAGACATCTTAGTTTCTTTTACTGTGGCTGTAATAAAATCTCCCGACATAACTAACTTATGGAAGGGAAGGTTTCTTCTGGCTTGTAGGGCTAGGGCATAGTTCATCATGGTGGGTATGTTCCAGAGGCAGTAGCTTGAGGGAGCTGATGACAACACACCCACAGGGATGAACCATGACAGCATACACTTTAGTGTTCAGCTTGCTAAGGGATGACGCTGCCCACATTGAGAAGGTTTCCCTAAAGTAAATGCCTCAAGTAATGTCATCAACCTCCCCCAAATATATACCCAGAGATCTCCCAGGTGATTCTAGATCCTGTCAAGTTGACAGCAAATCATCACATCAAGGCTTTTCTTTAAAACAGCTTAATGACCTTTGATACAATTTAAATGTGCTTATATTAGTTATTTTATGCTGCTCTATCCAAAATACTTGATGTGTTGACTTCAAGGAGGAGGGAGTTACTTTGGCTTACAATGTCATAGGGTTGAGGCCGGGTTGCTTGTGTTTAATGGAACTAGGTAGAACATTAAGGCCACAAAAGTAGGTAGCCTGACAGCTTCTTTACCACATGGTAGAAACAGAGGGTGAGGATGGAACAAGGAGGGACAACCTCCAAAGTCCTACCCACCTGCCTACCTCATGACCAACTCTTCCTTTAATTAGGTTCCCCCCCAACCCCACTGAAGTCTGCAGAATCTCCCAATATAGTACTATCTGCTAGGGACCAAGCCTTCAACAGATGAACCTCTGGGTCATTTCATCTCAAACCCATAAGTACTTGGATTCTTTTAGCTGTGTTCTGAACCCCATTCCTTCCCTCTACAGGTGGGGAAAGTCAGCTGTCATTATCATCAAGGCACAGGAGGTGGGGGAGGGGGTCTCCCTGACTTAGCTAAAGTCTCTCTTCATACATCCTCCAGAAACACAAGAGAGAGCCCTTTAGGTTTCTTCTTGGTGACTTTACAAATTGATGGTAAATAGAGAGTGAGATGTTTGACATGAATGAAATGGTGTTAGTGAGGCTTCGAAAGTAAGGCAGGGAAGTCCTTAGGTGCAGGGAAGGAGGCCTGTGAGGTGGTGTGTGGAAGGTGCCAGTAGGGCAACAGGTATGTGTGTATGGGGGGGGGGGAGTATAGCAGGTTTGAACGCCACATCCATCTATTTATTCATTAAATGCAGGAGGCCTTAAAATAAAACAAAGACATGAATGTGGGGAAAAGGCCTTGGAGGGGAGAAGGGGTGGCAGCAGTAGTCGAGAAGCAATTAGAATGCATTTTCATACATGTTTGAAAATGTTCAAAAACAAATTTAATTCACTTAAAAAATCAAATGAAGTAAACAAATGCCTACTCTCTGCGGGGTTCTTCTCTCAGCATGATATCAAGTGAAACTGTTGGGGCTCTCATGTCCAAGCAGCTGAAAGAAAATTGTACAGAGAAACAAAGGAAAATGAACAGTGTGGCAGGGCTAAGCATCTGGACGGCTGCTTAGACCACGAGGGAAAGGCTGTGCTTTAGGACCTAAGAGTGTAACAAGTGTAGAACCTGGAGGTAGGTCTCCCAGGACACATTGGAGGAACCGAAGGGAAACCGTTCCACATGGAAGACCAATGGGGCAGGATAAAGCCCAGCCACAGGTCGGCGAGAAGTCTGTGCATTGCTCAATGTGGAATATAAAGCATATTGCAGATGTTGTGGGTATGATGTACATTCAGATGTGTGTGTTGTGTTACAGTCAGGCAATGGCAGTTTCTAACCCTCCACGATCTAAGCTTCAGGAAGATTGGATTTATGGGAGCTGACATATCTACAGGTGAGGATTTTGGCAGAGATCTAGGCTGCCAGCTAAATCTGCCTTTCCCTGAGTGGGTAAGGAGTCAGGGTTGAATATCCCCTACCGAGAAGTCCCCAGGCCTGTGTGTGCCCTGGAAGGACTGGGCTAAAGAAAAGCATGGTGAGTGATTGTACAATTGTACAATGTCCTGGAGAACAGCATATTCCCTAAAAGTCTTAATGATTTCCACACATGGGACATCACAGTGGCCACTTGCCCCCATGTTCATGTTCTTCAGAAAACAAAGTGGACAGACCAGGACAGGTTCAAACCCTTGTATGAACTATCCTTGTCTGGCCTGGCATAAACACTTCTTATACTGATGATCTGTCCTATCCAGGTGAGGCTGGATAGGAGACATCCGTCTCTGGGGCTGATCTGCGGAAACCAGG